TCTTTCTTTCTTTCTTTCTTTCTTTCTTTCTTTCTTTCTTTCTTTCTGTCACTGTTTTTCTCATAAGATACTATCACTATCCCCTCCCCTGTGTGTACTTTAAGGGAAAGCAAGCAGAAACTATTCAAAATAGTAATGTCTACCATTATGAGTGGGCCATATGGAAGAAGCCATGGCATCTATCTGGAGCTGTCCTCAGCTGCAACATTTCAGCTTGGTCCTCAATCCTTTATAGAAACATTTCCCAACCTTAGCAACTTGAAGACATGTGGACTTCAAAGCCCAGGATTTCTCAGGATGGCTGGGCAATTTTGGTACTTGAAGGCCACCCATGTTAGTAAGGTTGAGACACACTCATCTACCCAAATCCTCAATCATCAAAAGAATGAGCCAGCATCCTGGGTTTTGTTAAGTAGGAAGAAGAAAGGATTACTTACATCAGCATATATGTTTGTGCCATATACTGTAGCCCAGTGGTTTGGCTCATTTTTGCAGTAAGCTGGACAGTAAGACCTGAAAGATGAAAGATGGAGATGAAGAATGATTTGAATCACTGGTTTAGTAAAAAATGACCCAGTAAGAAAGGGAAAAAGCACCCTAAATAGGAGCTCTTGGAAGCAATGAGTTCCACAGTATCTCCATCAGCTTCATCCATTGGGAATTCTGATTATGGTTATTTTGCAGACATTTCATTACCCAACCTAGACAACATCCTCAGTGCTAGTCTGTTGACATTACCTAGTTTTGGTAATGAAATGTCTTCAAGGAAACACTCAAGTTCAAAGAGCATCAAGGACCATCTCTCATTTCAACCCTGAGCTACAAAAATTCTCCTCTATTGGGATTCTCATTGACCAGCAACATCTACTGAAGTCAAACTGTGGGAAGTTCTACCAAGCAGCCACGATGTCTTCCCACATGGATCTGAAATGCCCTATCATAAGGCAACACTTTCTTTTCTCAATTGCCCATAGCAGCAGCGATTAGATTGGTTGGTTTCCCAGAAAAAAATTATTACTAGTAGTTTCAGTGTGACTCTTCCAACAGAAAGTTTGAGCAATCCATCCCTTCAAATATCCATGACTAGAGTCCACCACTTACCTTGGGCAATGAGTAGTTGGCTTCTTAAATGGACACAGTTCCTCAACTGTGGTGTAACAATCCAGAGTCTGCACTGTGGAATTAAGAATAGATACAAGATATGTATGGATTTGGGGTTTTCTTTGTAACGGTGGTCAAAAGTCAAGAATATACAAATTCCAAATTAATTAAATTAGCGGGGGAAAGATACAATATACTAAGCAATCATCTCAGTGACTGTATTTCATATATATTTCTTCAATATATTCAATAGGTTTCATACATATTCATTCAAATATGTGAATAATGTAGAAAGGTCTTTATAAAAGTGAGCTATAATTTGCACAATGCTAATCTTTACACAACCTTTTATTACATCTTCTTTCCAGTATAGTTGTTGGTAAATGCATTAAAGTGTCCTAATGCCTTAGCTTACACTTGTATTGCCTCGCACAGCATTCAAGAAATAACTTGAGGACTAAGTCAATTTATCCGTAACACTAGGCCAAGGGTCTTCAAACTTGGCAAGTGTAAGACTTGTGGACTTCAACTCCCAGAATTCCTGAGTTAACATGGCAGGAGGATGAATTCTAGGAGTTGAAGTGTACAAGTCTTAAAGCTGTCAAGTTTGAAGACCCCTGCACTAGGCAATGGACTCTAGATACATTTTAAATTTGGCCAAATTCTATATCATGGAAAATTAGAAATTAGAAAATTAAATTAAATCCCGCCATTTAAGATGCAGCTTAGAAGGCAGGGGAAGAGTTAAGGGATCCATTAACCAGGGGATCCTATAAAAATATTGAGCGCAGAGACATTTCAAGATATTTCTTTTGCTTTTTCCTTAATCCTGGAGATCTGCCAAAATTACAGGAAAATGGGAGGGGGGGATTGTTTAAACCAACATCTGTTTGAAGTAGCCTCATTTGTCATGTAAACCTGCAGGGTTCCTCCGGGCTGAAAGTCAACTTCAAACTTGATGGCACTGCTTCTAAAACATCTCTCTCTTTTTTTTTTTATTCTAAGGCCTTTGTTCGGACAAACAGAAGCCTGGCCCCAAAACAAATCAAAGCTGTGTGGTGTTTTGCCTGGATCGTAACCATAACTGGGCGGAAAATTATTGTACTTGGGGAATAAGATCAATTCATATATATATATATATTTTCCCTGGAAGATTTCTTGCTTGATATATCCTGCTGTTCTTAGGACTTTTCTGCGCTTGTTCAAACAAACATCTCCACCATCGAAGAGAGAAAGAACACAAACGCAAGAGGAAGAAGATTGCTTGACTTCCAAGTAAACTGATCATTAGGCTGCCTGGTATGTTGCTTTTATGTCTACTATGCTTTTCTAACATGTAAAAATGTTAGCGGGTCATTTGAACGTACAAAACCCTGGGCCTGTGCAGGAATGTCAGTGAGGGATTCGCTTCAGCAAAGGTTCACATGAAGTTTTCCCTTCAAGCAATTTTGCAAAAATATCTTTCCATCTAGGGATGCGGAGGATCTCTTTGGATTACAGGAACTTCTCTCTCCCTTTTCCTTCCTCTCTTTTCTCTTTCTTTTTTTTCCCTGAAAAGGTGTGCAAAACATCTATCACAAGCTCTTCCCAAAGGTCCTTTTTCAAGTAGCAACTGGACTTTCTTGGTTTTTCTTGAAGACGTTTCGCTCCTTGGCTGAAGAAGCTTCTAGGTAGGATAAGAAGCAAAACGTCTTCAAGAAAAACCAAGGAAGTCTGGTTGCCTCTTGATAAAGAACCTTTGGAACAACCAGGACCTGGATGTCTGAGAATCTCCATGGACTGTTACAAAGTCAAAGTCAAGAGTTCTGAATGCAGAGTAAAACGGTACAAACCAGAACCTGGTGGCTCCATATATATTGTTCCATAGTTTCTCAACCCTTTTGGCTCTCATGGACTTCAGCATAGACTAAATGATTTCAGTGCCCATAAAGAAAAGGAGTGCGTTGCTTTAATTTTGTTTATTTCTTACAGTTGTTCCACTGAAGTATGTCCCACTGAAAGGCTACCAACTGAAGAAAAATCCTTATTATTGTTCTACACATCCATCATACATAACCACTGTCTTCTATTTTCTCCCTATTTTCTTTTTCCCTCCCTTTCTCTCTTTCTTCCACTACAGTATCTCCCCATTTATCTTCTCACTTCTGTCTCCTCATTTGATTGACTGACTACTAGAAAAGGATTTAATCCAGGGGAATTCTGGAGGAAATCACACCAATTCTTTCTTCTCAATGAAGACAAGAAACTTACCTGTGACTTTTGACACAGCAAAACCATTGGAAGGTTTGTATTTGCTGTCAAAGGAGAGAGAGAAAAAAAAAACCCGGTATGAATTCAGTGTTTAAGAGGTCATTCTAAAATTAAATCTCTAGATAACATTACAAGAGACAGAGTAATAGAGTCTGCGACTTAAGCAAGACTTCAGCTCTTATTCACTGACAAGCAGAACCAAAGATGCAACAAATCATAGCTAGAGATTTGACATGACTAGATTATTTTGGGACATAGAAAGTGGGACTACCTGAATGTCTGAACTCCGTTTCTTATAGACATTACGAAGAAGTCTGATCTTCCTTTCCTAGTGATATCTACTAGGCCACCTCTGTTATCTAACACTCCGGAATGAATAGCTGCTCGGCATATGCTGGATGCCTGGAAGGAAGGAAGGAAGAAACCACCTATGAAACTGCACAAGGCCGTGTGCAAGTCAAGATTATTTTTTTTTAAAGTAAAGATAGTGAAACTGTACCCCTTTTGGGATATTTTAGGTGTGTTATGTTTTTTAGCCATTGTGTAAAAAGCCTACAATGTCACCCAAGGAGAAAGCTTGGCCCAACAAATAATTAAATGTTGAGAACATAAAGCTATGGATGATTTATCCAATGATATTCCCCAAATTTTTGAGATACCCATACAGATCATAGTAGTGTACTGATATTATAGTTTGATGATGGCAATTATAATTTCCAGTTATTTTTCCATAGTTTATAGGTTGGACTGAAAGGATTATAAATGTTAAAGCTCTAAATGTTTTTTTTTTTATCGGTCAATTACCAAAGCAAAGATTTTGACTTTGAAAATCATAACCCCGAAATATGTGGAGGGTTTTTATTTTAAAAAACTTACACTTTCATATTTGGGGAATCCAAATACTTTTGCCTTACTGTTCAAGCAACCAGCTGGGCACAGGTACCTAGCCAAAAGAAGAAGAAGGGAATCATTAAGGAATTTTGGAATTTGCCTTCTGAACTCATATTGTTGGTCAAGGGCAAACATTCTCCACCTGGTGCTCACCAAACGTTATGGACCTCAGCATCACTTTAAAGGCCAGGCTGAGGAGCATATATCATTCCTGGTGTAGATTTTACCAGCTCTTTCCTTAAGCATTCTCAGCTAATATTTGAATTGGATTTGATTCATTTAACTGCACTGTAATTAAAAGCATGACATAGAGGAAGGATACCCATTCCAAGAGAGAGACAAACATTTGTCAGAGGAAAATGGTGAAAGATTGATGCCAATATAAGGATGGGTATGCCATTTTTATTTTTTTTTACAAAAGCAACTGGACTTTCTTTATTTTCCTTGAAGACATTCCGCTTCTCCCCCAAGAAGCTTCTTCAGTTCTGTGTGATGACCCAAGGTACGGCACAAAGGCAATATAGTCAGATAATCAGTAGGAGTCCCCTTATTAGCTCCAGCTTTGCCCCCGATGTCCTGGTTACCTTCTGGGCTGGACAAAAACTCTCCCAGGAACAGCCTTTGGCTGCAGAGAATCAAGTCCAAAACATGGTCAACAAAAACTGTAACTATAAGTCCAATCAAGGCAAGAGGAGGTCATTAGTCCAGCAGGGCAGGAGAAGAAATTCCAGACATGAAGGCATGGCAATAACTCAACATGTTTGGGAGGATGCCAGGAATGCAGATAACCAAAGTCAACACAAGATAAACTCTCATTTGTTCCCACCAGATACCGCACTCAGCATGCATCTGTTTTAAACACTCATTCCCAGGTGTGGCTAATGAAGGGAATCAGGGCCCTTTCCTCCCCCATAAACCATGCAACCCATGTTGCTCTCTTCTCCGTTCCTCCCTGTGAGTGTCCTAGGATGAAGAGGGGGTGGACCTGGGTCTTCCTCTGAACTCCCTCTCCCTTGTTCTACCTCTTCCCTGCTCTGCCCAGCTGGACTTTGCCTTTCCCCATTTTCCTTCATAGCCAACAGAGCTACACTCCCACTCCCTGCCAGCTGTTCATCTTCCTCCTTGAATTCAGACTCCGATAGGAGCATGACATTCTAACTGAATGGTGGAGGATAGAAGGATTTATATTCCTTGCAGTCATCTTCCTTCCATTCTCCGCCATCCTGTCAGAAATGAAGAAGCTTCTTCAATGAGAAGCGAAACATCTAAAAGAAAACAATGAAAGTCCAGTTGCCTGTTGCAAAAAAATCACCTTTGAGACAACCATGACCTGGATGACTGAGAAACTCCATAGACATAAGGACGGGTAGCTAGAACAGGCAATGAATCATTTCTAGGCCCTTGCTGAAGATAGACTGAAGCTCCTCCTTTCCTTCAAGAGTTGGAGTTTCCATGAAAAGACCTGAGTGGACTGTTTCTACATGATTTTTGGATTGATAGGACATCAGAGGGAATGTTATATTTGAACATTGCCACAGGTCAAAGGGTAAAAAGAAATAATAAATGGGGTGCACCTGTTACATGTGGATCCTCGACATGTATCCCTCATTTTGGTGTCGCACTTGATCACTTGAGCTAGAATAATGGGAAGATACACAATTGTGAAGAAAACATTATAAAAGCAGGTTCTACCTGCAGCCCTTAAGTAACACTGCACAGAAAAATTTAGATCTTGGGATATAGGGTGAGGTCTTCTTTCCTGCCTTAGAAGTTTCCAGATGACCATCAGATCCATCCTGATGAACTTCTGGCATCTTCTACAACATGTGTTTATACTAGTAAATGGAGTTGGCCTATCAATTTATCTTGTTGTTAGTTGTGAAGTCGTGTCCGACCCATCACAAACCTATGGACAATGTTCCTCCAGGCCTTCCTGTCCTCTACCATCTTCTGGAGTCCATTTAAGCTCACGCTGACTGCTTCAGTGACTCCATTCAGCCACCTCTTTCTCTGCAGTCCCCTTCTTCTTCTTCTTCTTCTTTTGCCCTCAATCGTTCCCAGCATGAGGCTCTTCTCCAGGGAGTCCTTCCTTCTCATTAGGTGGCCAAAGTCAAGCCCATGTTATCCCCTCAGCAACTTTAAGATGGGTGGACTTCAACTCCCAGAATTGACTGGGGAATTCTGGGAGTCGAAGTCCACTGGTCTTAAAGTTGCCAAATTTAAGACACACACTGAGCTAAGGTAGGCATTTAACCACAGAAATCTCCAACCCATCTTCCTTTTACCAAATAGCCCAATGCTTGCTGAATTTTCTCCTATTTAGTCAAGCAACAAGTATTCCTGAGTAATCATTTGCAAACTCCCAAATGCTGGAAAATAGAAATACTTACTCATGTACTTCACTTCTGTGGGTTTCTTTTCCTTTGTAGGTTTGACAGATTTGGGCTCTATTCTGACAGGAAACTTTTGTAACTCCACTTCATTAGCCCGATCCGTCTCCGATTTTTCAACCACTTTCTCTTTGGTTGGAGAGTGAAAAAGAGCTGTGTGTTACTACTATTCAAGGCCATTAGCAAAGAAGATGGAAACTAGGAGTTGAGAAACTTTCTTGTTTTTTCCTTTAAGGAGATTCAGTGACTTTGTCCCCCAATTTTGAAACCAGCTCACCTCAAATAAATAAGTGTGAAACCAAGGCATCCATGGGGGTAGGGAAGGGAAGAAAACAGGTCAAAAAAAAAAATTAAGATGGCACCATGCTCATAAGGTTGCAACTGCAACCTGGAGATTTTAGTCACCTGTGGATGCCTTAGACAAATCGGGCAACATGCAGTTTTGAGTTTTCAGGAAGAAGTCTAAAAACTGAATGTAATTGTGGAGAGTTAGCTTGGTGGATCTACCTAGATCAGCATGTGAGCAGGAGGTTTAAGCTAACACAAGTCTTAGCTAGGAAGTCATGAAATGGCTTTCTAATAGAATATACCACCCAAATTTATACTGGAGCAAATTGTTCCTTTCCTATCTCAACAATTTTCTTTCTGCAAAAAGAGGCTCCAGACCTTCTACCTTGCTTTCAGGGTGCTGTATTATTTCTTGGGGATTTCAGGAATTCACATTGGGCTTCCTTTTTTGGTAGAAGAAGCAGAAAAGGCCACTCCTGGTGTTGGTTATGAGATATATGTTTCTATTAATCTGGAATCAATTTAGATGCCCACATCCTAGTCTGGAAAGCTCCAGAGTGGGAGCTTCCTCTTCTGACCTCCTGGGACATTTACAGAAGCCAGAGGAGATGCAAACTCTTGCACAAAAGACCAGACCATGAAGATGGCAACCTTTATGGCAACCTTCTTCAGGTGGTCCATCTATACATCTAGGGATGTCCAGAGAAGCCAACCATTTGCTGAGAATGACTCAACAAGCATTGCATCATCATGACACAAGATGCATCCATGCAAGGTTGCAACCCATCTCATTTGTGAAGAGGACAACTTTGAACAAAACCAGGATCGATGTTTGCCCGCTACTAGATCACGTACCTTTATAACAGAGGTTAGCCCGGCACCCTCCTCCATAGCTTGGTGGGCATTCAGAACACGATCTGCCATTTTTGTATGGGGCTTCTCCAATCCAGTTGCCTCTGAAAAGTTCACACAAAATGTTCCTTGTTATCTTCTTTCATCCCGTGTTTGGCTCACAACATACAAAATCGTCTCTGGGGACTGTTTTAGGCCTGGTGCCTGACTTGTTATGTTCTCAAGACCTCTGATCCATGAAAAAAAAATGTTCACACTCTGGCTATGGTTTGATAGATTAATGTTAATCTGGGAACATTTTGCCTCAAATGTATAGGTCAGGGACATTCTGAGGAGAACTTTGGCAGATGAAAGCACCAATATTATGCCTCAGAACCAACCAGGCATTAGTCCTCACACCCGTTCCACAAAACCACTATTCAAGACCACCCCAATTTCTTTCTCCTAAATCCCTTTGGGTGGGAAGGAAACCCATCTGAATGCTCAAAGGTCTTTTCTGGTCAACAACATCTTCCAGCTGAGAATGACTCCCAGGTCTCTTCCAAGAGATGAATAAATATTAGCTCTTGTGTGTGACTGAGAAACCTTGGCAGCGTCTGGGAACATTAGCTTCACGTGGTGCTTGCATGTGTTAAACTCTCCTCTTTAACAGGCAGAAGTCACTTGACACTTCATCTGCCTTTTCAAGATTGAAAGATTGTCCCTGACCCATCAGGGACCCAACATCTCAAGCAGGAAAAGCAACCGTTTTGATGCAAATATTCAAATCGCAGCGGTTGAGCAAAACTTAAAATCCGTTGGCTAAAATTTTAAATCAAAGAACCTAGAGATAAGCTTTGCCCTGTTGGAGTTTCTCCAACTGGTCCTGATGTTCTAATATTTTGGCCACATCCCAAGATCTAAACTTTAAGGTTGAGGTCATCCAACATGTGAAGCTAGACTAAAAATGGGGTGGACAGTTTGTGGTGCAATGTGTCATGGGAACCTAACTATAATGTCTTAACATGTCACTTAAACGTCTTAAACTACCATGTTAAGCCACATCATGAAATCTTGGCTTCGGCTTGTATATTATGGAATGCAACAATTGTGCTGGATGTATGAAGAAGTGGTCTTGGGAAACATTGACTCACTACACACCCTGTTCACGACCTGTTTTCCTTGTTACCTTCTGGGGGGAGGCTTCATGTATCCCAGGCACAACATTCAGATTTAATCACAATTTTGTTCCATAGAGTATCAACCTTGTGAACTCTCAAGTTTTCTTTTTCCTCTATGTATTCAAAAATAGACAGTGATTTTTATATATGTGAGTGGGTATTTGTGTGGGTGGCTGGATGGGTGTAAGCATGTGTATCTGTGTAGTAAATATGTTTATGGGGAGATAGATACTACTTTTGAGAGCAGGTAACAGAATTTCACTTGTAATGTATGCCGGTGGGCTCCCAGTAAAAAAAATGACAATAAAAGTTATCTTATCTATCTAATTTTTTGACTAAACTTTTGACGCAAATCCATAGAGACAGTTCTCCTTCCCCCCTGTAGCCTTACTTGGGAGAATAGTTGCAGACCAAATACACCGCGTTTTCCCACACGTCTCCCCACACGTCTATCGTCTTGCAGACATTAATGGCACAGCCAATTTTGTTGGTTGTAGCCCACACCAACTGGAAAGAAACACAAGAAGCAAATTGGTTGAAGCCAATTCCCGGGTTCAATTCCTCTTGCGCTTCAACATAGCCCTGCCCATCTGAGTGTCACGCTTGAGAGAGGGGAAAGCCATTAGTTCTAAGACTCCATTTCAGCTGGCCTTACCTGGGTGTAGTGCGTGCACATAGATCCTGCACATCTGTCGGGACACCAAGGATTGCATTCATGGGGATATGGGTAGGTGTAATCTTTTACTTCGTCATACCAAGACTGGACGTGGAAACTTGGAGGACGAGGCCTAAGGAAAAAATGGGTAGAAGTTCTAGTGTAACAAAGAAGACCATCAACCAGCTCTTTGCTCAGGGTGCCTAGTGTGATGACCCAAAGGGGCGTGGCACAAAGGCAACACAGACACATAACTAGGAAGAGTCCCTTTAATACCTCCAACTTTGCCTCCAATGTCCAGGTTGCCTTTGGTTGGAGAAAAAAACTCTCCCAAGAACAGCCTTTAAGTGGAGGAAATTCAGTCCGAAAACAACGTACAAACAAACTGTAACTAAAAATCCACACAAATCACTCTGCAGTAATTAACTTGACAGGGCAGGAGAAGAAATGGCAGACTTGAAAGGCCAGCAAAACACACACAGCTGGGAAGACGCCAGGACCCCAGATAAGCCTCAGCAATACCAGATAATTCACAATTTGCTCCCAACAACTTTGCTGCGTGCACTCCCTTTTTAAATACCGTGTTCCCAGCTGCAGGTAATGAAGGGAATCAGGGCCCTTTCCTCCCCCATAAGCCACGCAACCCACATTGCTCCCTTCTCTGTTCCTTCCTGCATGCCCTAAGATTAAGAGGGGGTGGGCCTGGGTCTTTCTCCAAATTCCCTCTCCTTTGCTCTACTTCTTCCCTGCTCTGCTCAGCTGGACTTTGCCCTTCCCCAGTTTCTTCCACAACCAATGGAGCTACACTCCTACTCCCTGTCAGCTGCTCTGCCTCTCCCTCAGAATCAGATTCCGACAGGGGCATGACACCTAGCCAGCCATAAACACACATGTTTCTGTATAAACGAGTATTTGTGCATGTGTGAGTGTGCCTATCCAGATGCATTGTTTGTGTTTCAACGTCAAGATGAATGTGGGAAGTCATAAAAATGGACTGAAAACAGGTCTTGAAACCAAGCCAAACATTCAGTTAAGACCTATTGCCAGCCAATTCATTAGGAACTAGCAAAAAACACACGACTGCATAAAGAAAGCATAAATTCTTATGATTACAGCAGCAGGCTGAAATGTTCAACCAGGATTATGTCAAGCACATTCCGTTGGTCAAACATACACATACCATCTCAAGATTTGTAGCTTGCGGGAGTCTGCAGTCTTACCTTCCCCAGTGAATAGCCAAATTCTGGCCAATGGATGGGAGCAGGCTGGCAGGACCATGGTCCCAGATGCATTGGTGAGCCCAAGATTCAGCAGATCTCTCCAGTTCGTCATCCCATCTCTAAAGAAGACATTGGAGAGAAAAACACTAATAGGTTAACTTATATAAAGTCAACATCTCAGATGTGTGGACTTCAGCTCCCAGAATTCTCCAGCCAGCCAATGCGGGCTGAGGGATTTGGGGAGTTGAAGTCCTCATATCATAGGGGAATTCTGGGAGTTGAAGTCCCCACATTTTAAAGCTGCCACGGTTGAGAAACATTGCTCCAACATGTACATAAAATTAGCAATGAAACGTGCAACTCCGTGTTTAGCAGGGTGTTGAATTTAAAACAGACCTTGCTGGATCAAAGTGGTTGCCTTGTTTCTTGGCAGACTTTGAACGTGGATTTTCTTATCCAGAGCATGACTGTGAAAGATGTTCTCGCACATTCTTTAAATTAGCTGAAATTCAGATTGGAAATATTGGGGGGGTGGGGGGGGCATCAAACCATGCCATGATTATCTGAGTTTCTGCAGAGAGCAGTTCTTGGGTTTACAGCCTTCAAAGGAGTGGAGAGGAAAAAAAAACTCCCAACACTTTGAAACAAAAAAAAGCCTTAAAACTTGCTGCATTCTGAATTCTGGGATTCAGGCTGGGATTTCTAAGCTCTGCTAGATAGATATGGCTGCACTTATTTTATTTATTCGTTACTTAATTAGGCTCATATGCTGCTCCAATTGCTGACAACTTTTATGAAGGGGGGGATTATGAACCAGCCGCAGGAGAGACTATGGTTTTTCAACTAAATCTTTGGGAGCTCTTTTTATATTCTGTAGGATCTCCAGCAGAAGGCAAAGAAAACCACACACATGAGGTCAAGGTACAGAGCAAAGCCAAACACGAAGACCTGGCTAGGTGGGACAAGTAAATAGACACTAACCTGAAGAGTCTTTGGCTGTGGAGCAGAACTGGAGGAGTCACAAATGCCAAGAAAAATACATTTATTTGGCCTCCACACTTGTGTTGACTTTCCTAAAAGCAGTGAGATTGTCCTTAGTCTTACAAAGGATGGAACAAGCACTGCCCAGAGGGGAAATGGGTGCTATCAGCCTACGCAGGGGGTTGTGAGAAGGGGGTTGTTTTGGAATTCTTGTCCCAGGAGATGGAAGCACCAAGTGGACTTTCAAAACACAAGAACATACATTTTTGCTCACTTCTTTTACTAGTATCAGAAAGTCGAGTGGGAAAGCTGCATCTTCCTGGACAATAATCCTAGCTCATCAAGGATTATGGCGTAACTCATTAAAAGAAATAATCGAGGGATCCCCAACAATTAAGAACCACCAATCCAATGTTAAGACAGGCTGCAACAGAGAATGACATCACTCTGAATTGGCTTTGCACTACTGTAAGTATTCTATTGTAAAGGCCATTCAGAGTGAGGTCATTCTTTTTTTTCTGGCATCCCTGTGAATAAGTAAACTTGTTCCTTCTGTAAAAAGAATCTGCTCTCTCCCCGATCATCTTCTGAAAGTACTTTTGCTACTATAGTGAAAGCTTCTAAGTCCAATCCTGATTTGAACCCGGATGTAGATTATCATTTATTAAAGGCTGTAATGAATCATAAAAGGGGGAAGGAGGAAAGGAGGAACTGAAGTCTGTGGGACTGGAGGGCTGTGGAGTGGAGTGGTCAGGGCAATCATGACCATGCACTTAAAGCCCCACCTCTTTAATGTGTGGAGGGATGAACCTCCAAAATCTATTGGTGAAGCTGTGGTCACCATCTTGACTTTTTCGTCCCTCCCTGTGGTCTTCTCCAGGGATTTTCCAGCTCCTTGCTTCTTTCCCCAATCAGCATAAGATTGCTGTTTAAAATAACTGTTGAATGTTGGTTAAAATAACTCAACAGGTTCATGTTAGCTTAGATGAAGTTTACTTAACCTTGGCGAGCTGAAGGTGCTTCTAGGAGCTTCAATGAATTTAGGCCAGTTGGCAACTTGAAGGTTTGCGGACTTCAAGTCCCAGAATTCCTCACCTAGCCTATGTGGACTTCGAGTCCCAGAATTCCTCCTCCAGCATCCATGGACTTCAGCTCCCAGAATTCCCCAGCCAGCCTGATGAATGGAAATTCTGGAAATTGAAGTCCAAGGATGCTGGAGGAGGAATTCTGGGACTTAGAATCCACATATGGTAGGTGAAGAATTCTGGGAGTTGAAATCCATTCACTTTCAAGTTATCAAGGTTGAGAATACTGGCCTAAAATCATTTAAGGTCCTATAACCCAAGGATAGAAAAGCAACTTCATTTCTTTGGTTCAGCCCTCAGAGAGCTATAAAGTCCCTTGCTTAAGACTGCGAATTGCTAGAATAACTGGCTCCAATAGTTTGACTCATAGCAGGCCATTTATCAATGCAGAAGGGGGATAATCAATCTTAGCTCTGTGGGATCCCTCCTATATATTTAGAATGGATCTGATATCTTGTACAGGCAGAGAAAACATTCTGTTCTTTCCTTACACACACACACACACACACACACACACACACACACGCCTGCAGTATTTGGTTGCAATCTCACACAGAAATCATCTTTAATCATCTTTTTATTGGCGTCTGGAGAAGTGGGCCTACGTCAGAAGAATGTTCCATCAAAAGCCTTTGCATGGTCACATAAACATGTGAAAATCTTTGTTTTTCTTAAAAAATAATAATAATCGCCAGGAACAACATACACAAACTTCTGAAAAAGGGTTCCTGCATTCTTCTCTTGCTGACAAACCTAGAATGATAAATAGCAAAAGACTGGAAATATTTTGAAGCTAGAAGTGTGTGGGGTTTCTCTCTCTTTCTCTCTCTTTCTCTTTCTCTCTCTCTCTCTCTCTCCTTCCAGTCTCTAGATTTTTAAGTTGCTATTTGTAAAGATAGGAGCTCTTTTTATAGTAAAATGTTCTCCGTACGTTTGCCATTTTTCCATTCCCAATTCTCACAAGAGAAGCATGAGAAAGAGGGGTCAGCATCATCTCACAGGGTTGGTTCCCTGGTTAACTGGACAAGGATGAATAAATGAAAAATACAAACGTATACTGTAGATGTGATGACCCGGGGCGTGGCACATGGGCAACACAGTCAGATAATCAGTAGGAGTCCCTTTCTTAGCTCCAACTTTGCTCCCAATGTCCTGGTTACCTTCTGGGCTAGAAAAAAAACTCTCCCAGGAACAGCCTTTGGCTGCAGAGAATCAAGTCCAAAACATGGTCAACAAAAACTGTAACTATAAGTCCAATCAAAGCAAGATGAGGTAAAATTCCAGACATGAAGTCACGGCAATAACTCAACATGGTTGGGAGGATGCCAGGAAAACAGATAACCAAAGTCAACACTAGATAAACTCTCGTTTGTTCCCAGCAGATACCGCACTCAGCATGCATCTGTTTTAAACTCTCTTCCCAGGTGTGGCTAATGAAGGGGATCAGGACCCTTTCCTCTTCCATAAGCCATGCAACCCATGTTGCTCTTTTCTCCATTCCTCTCTGCATGCCCTAGTATGAAGAGGGGGTGGACCTGGGTCTTCGTCTGAACTCCCTCTCCCCTGTGCTGCCCAGCCGGACTTTGTCCTTCCTCCACAGCCAACGGAGCCACACTCCCACTCCCTGTCAGCTGTTCGTCTTCCTCCTCAAATTCAGACTCCGATGGGGGCAGGACAGTAGAGGCCATATTTCTCAACTTCAGCAACTTTTAAGATGGGTAGACTTCAACTCCCAGAATGCAACCATGAACAAAATATAGATATTAATGTTCCTAGGATCTTTTCCTAAGGATCAAGGTTGAGCGTTCAACCCTAGAAAGAGCTGCTTCTGGACAGATGGTTTCTTTCTCATTGAAATGACTCAAGTAACTACAACCTGAGTTGATTTTAGGAAAGGCTTAGAGGGAAGATTTCTTGCTCTGGAATTTGGGATGAGTAAGTGTCCTCAAAGGAGAGTGGAACAAGGTTAAACTCTAGGCTACATTGACAGATGGAATGGAATGGAATGATTCACAAGCATTTCTTCTTGAGAAATCTCTTCTTCTCACAGATGGAAGGACCTAAAATGCTATATGGGGGTCCCAAAAGAGTTACTCATGAGAAATTTTCCAATCATGTAAGAAAATTACATTTGTCTGGTTATCATCTCTGGCTGGCTGGCTGGCTGGCTGGCTGGCTGGCTGGCTGGCTGGCTAGCTGCTGTCATCCATCCATCTGTCTGTCTGTCTATCTATTTACAGTATCTATCTATCTATCTATCTATCTATCTATCTATCTATCTATCTATCTATCTATC